CAGCTGTAAAAGTTTCTTGGTGGAGTTTTGAGGGTCACTTATGTACACTATCATATCATCTGCAAATAACGAAAGTTTAACTTCTTCCTTTCCAAGTCAAATCCCCTTGATCCCCTTATGTTGTCTTATTGCTATTGCTAGAACTTCAAGCACTATGTTGAAGAGGTATGGCGAGAGTGGGTTTCTGAGTTTAGTGTTCCTGAGTTTAGTGGGATGGCTTTGAGTTTCTCTCCGTTTAATTTGATGTTAGCTGTCGGCTTGCTGTATATAGCTTTTATTATATTTAGGTATGACCCTTGTATCCCTAGTCTCTCCAAGACTTTTATCATAAAGGGATGTTGAATTTTGTCAAATACTTTTTCAGCATCTAATGAAATGATCATATGGTTTTTTTCTTTCAGCTTATTTATATGATGGATTACATTGATAGATTTTCGTATGTTGAACCAGCCCTGCATCTCTGGGATGAAGCCTACTTGATCATAATGGATAATTTTTCTAATGTGTTCTTGGATTCGGTTTGCCAGTATTTTGTTGAGGATTTTTGCGTCGATGTTCATGAGTGAGATTGGCCTGTAATTCTCTTTCTTGGTTGAGTCTTTGTGTGGTTTTGGTATCAGAGTGACTGTAGCTTCATAAAAGGAATTTGGCAATGACTCTTCTGCTTCTATATTGTGAAATACATTAAGGAGTATAGGTATTAGGTCTTCTTGGAAGTTCTGGTAGAATTCCGCATTGAAACCATCAGGTCCTGGGCTTTTTTTGGTAGGGAGGTTTTTGATAACAGCTTCTAGTTCTTCGCGACTAACAGGTCTATTTAGGTTGTTCACCTGGTCCTGGTTTAACTTTGGTATATGGTATTTATCTAAAAACGTGTCCATTTCTTTTACATTTTCCAGTTTTGTGCCATACAGGCCTTTGTAGTAAGATCTAATGATTCTTTGAATTTCCTCTGTGTCTGTGGTTATGTCCCCCTTTTCATTTCTGATCTTATTAATTTGCATATTCACTCTCTGGCGTTTTATTAGTTTGGATAGAGGTTTATCAATCTTGTTGATTTTCTCCAGGAACCAGCTTTTTGTTTCATTGATTCTTTGGATTGTTTTCTGTGTTTCTATTTTGTTGATTTCAGCCCTCAGTTTGATTATTTCCAGTCTTCTACTCCTCCTAGGTGAGTCTTCTTTTTTTTTTTTTTCTAGAGCTTTCAGATGGGCTGTTAAGTCTCCAATGTGTGCCTTCTCTGTTTTCTTTAAGTGGGCACTTAGTGCTATGAACTTTCCTCTCAGGACTGCTTTCATAGTGTCCCATAAGTTTGAGTAGGTTGTTTCTTTATTTTCATTGAATTCAAGGAAGACTTTAATTTCTTTCTTTATTTCTTCCTTGATCCAGGTGTGGTTCAGTAGTTGACTGTTCAGTTTCCATGAGTTTGTAGGCTTTCTGGGGGTAGGGTTGTTGTTGAATTCTAACTTTAATCCATGGTGATCTGATAAGATACAGGTGGTTACTAATATGTTTTTGTACCTGTGGAAGTTTGCTTTGTTACCGAGTATGTGGTCAATTTTCGAGAAGGTTCCATGAGCTGCAGAGAAGAAGGTATATTCTTTCCGATTTGGGTGGAATATTCTATAGATGTCTGTCAAGTCCAATTGATTCATTACCTCCATTAATTCTCTTAGTTCTCTGTTAGGTTTCTGTCTGATTGACCTGTCCATTGGAGAGAGAGGAGTGTTGAAGTCTCCTACTATTAGTGTGTGGAAGTTTGATGGCGCCTTGAGTTTTAGTAATGTTTCTTTTACGTACGTGGGTGCTTTTATATTAGAGGCATAGATATTCAGGATTGAGACTTCCTTTTGATGAATTGTTCCTGTTATGAGTATAAAATATTCCTCTCCCTCTCTTGATTGATTTAAGTTTGAAGTCAACTTTGTTAGAAATTAGTATGGCCACACTTGCCTGTTTCTTAGGTCAATTTCCTTGATAAGCCTTTTCCCAGCCCTTTACTCTGAGTAGGTGCCTGTCTGTTGGTAGTACTTGTCTCTGTAGTTCCTGTTCGTTTACTCAGATTTTCCATCTCCAACCTTCCCTCGGTTTGTGTTTTCTTCATTACTTCCATTTCATTCTTCAAGTCTAGATCTGCTTCCCTTACCTGTTTGATTGCTTTTTCATGTTTCTCTTGGTTTTCTTGGGTGTCTTTCAGCGATTTATTCATTTCCTCTACCTTTTTGTTTGTAATCTCTAATTGTTTATGGCAGTTTTCACCTCCTGTTTAAGGTCTTCTATTATTTTCATATAATTCACTTTAGAGTTGATTTCTTCTAATTCTTCTGGAGTAGGGTGTACAATTCTTATTTCAGGATCCCTTGATTCTGGTGATGCCATGTTGCCATTCAGGTTGTTGGAGGAAGTCTTGCATTGGCGCCATCCCATCTCCTCCTTCAAATGGAGCCAGAAGAGGCCTGGTGTCTTGGTCCAGTTTTTGCTGTGAATGAGTCTCTGGGTGTATCTCTTCAGTGTAGAAGCAGGGACAGTCCCGTCGAGATGGAACTCCTCAGCACCCAAACATGGACGACCGTCCAGATGGAACTCCTCAGGACCGCTCTGGGTGGGTTTTGGATGCAAGCCCAATGTCTCTCCTGGTGCCCAGATCGTATCTCCTTGCTGGCTGGGTGGCTTGTAAACAAAGGGCCTACCTTGCTTGTTGCAGTCAGGCTATTGAGACAAAGGAGGTACCACCCTCCCGTTTGCCCTCCCGATTCGGATTAGGTCCCAGTGCCCTAAAAGGCTGAGCTGGGAGATGTTATGTGGTCAAAGAGGGCAGGGATTCAGATGGAGGGGGGGAGGATTGTGGATGCAAGCTGGGTGGGATAGGAAGAGAGAGGAGCTATCGGGCAGTATAACCCCTGAGGATGACCAGGAAGTGTCTTCACTCATTTTTTATAAGAAAAAAAAAAAGACAGAGATGTTAAGTTTCAAAACCAGGAAATATGACTCTGGTCCCCACTTATCACATCAGAGCTGGTCCTGACAACCAAGTTATTCCAATTTGCCCCAGTCCCCACTTGCTAGAGGTTATGTCACTCATACCCCATCTTCTTCCATGAATGTTCCAGCCTTGGGAATGTACTCTATTAAAAATGTTCTATTACTAATGGTATATATTCTTCCTATCCTCCTTATCATATATATATATACATATATGTATGATATTATATATGTTATAAATATATATGATAATCTCAATATGTTCTTCAGCCAATTAATTCAGTTTGAGGAACTTTCTGTGTGCAACATGACAGGATGTTACTGCCTTCTCATAGGCCATTTGGTTTATTGATTGCTTTTATGTCAATTTTGAGAACTCTGTCAGCTTCAACTATACCTACAACTTTTTTTTCCAGCAGCTACACACTGATAATTGGGTGGACTATTTATCTAGAAATGTTTCATAAGCATTTATTGCCCATTAAGAATGATGGACATTTATTATATACAATTGATGCTTTAGAAGACATTCTTTACATGGGGACTCATATTCAACATATCAAGACATACTTAACCATATTGTATAATGCTCACTATAAGTAGATTCATGTTGCTCATCTGTGTGACAGTAGATCAAAAATATCCTGTGAGCAAGTGCAGCTACACTTATAAGTTACTTGGAATAGTTCTCAGATTGCTATAAATATGAATGTTCTTCATTCTCTAATTAGTGCCATTAGTCATTCTAGGCTGAACACGTGATCTATAGAAAAGTTGCCTTCTGAACTTTAGAATCCATGATATGCTCTGTCCAAAGAGAGATTCGTGTGTTTCATATAGCAAACAAAGGGGGAAGAGATTCCAGTGGCCATGTCAGAGGACCAGCAGATTACAATTGACGTCAGGGTGTCAGACCACCACGAGGTTAATCCCTGATGGGTGAATCTTGGATATAAAAGACCCCAGGACCACAGATCATAAAGTGTCTGTTGATTCTGCTGTGTCTTCATGTGTTTGCCACTGCCATCTTTCTCTGACATGTGGTATGGTATGAAGGTGTATGGAGAGAATCTCACTGCCTGTAATGTATTGTCTTTATCTCATAGATACATCTTGTTCTAATGGGCACTTTTACCTACAGATTAAATGAAGATGATTTCTTCTTAGGTTGTATTGTCTAATTAATAATAATAATAAAGTTAGTTTAATAGAGTTTTAATGCTAAAAAATAGTCTTCCATAGCTAGAATATATCAGGTGCAAGGTGGAATAAAGATAAAAAAAATGCCAAAAGGTAAAATGTTCATTAATATAAATTGGTTAAATTAAGTTATAAATGCTGATGGAATAAGCCTAATCTATAGGAGTTTTCATAATTAATTATAAGTCTTCATGTTATTTTTTTGAGGAGCTGGTGGCCCAAAGAAAAATCCATCTACAGGTATCTACCAGAACATTTTAACCAGTATCAATGTAGAAACACGGGTAATTTGAAAATGAAATGTCAGATTTCTATTTCAATGTTTCAGAACTTTTCTATAACAAAATAATAAAATAAAGAGAAGATCAATTATAAATAGAAATTTAAGATTATGGGTTAAATAAATTATTACACTAGTGTACAATCTTCTCTGGAACAAATACTAAACTTGTAACTTAGACATTTGAAGTTCAAAGAAAATCACAAAATATAACATTTCAAGATGGGGTGTTCCAATATAATAAAATCGCCTGAACAAGAAAGCTACAAAGAAAGAAATATATTATAGAACAAATTCTAATTGCTCTTAATAATAAATATCTGGAATTGGATAACAGAGTAAATGCTGAAAGAGCAAAGTTAAAGGAGCCAGCAATTAGACAGACTTCTTTGTAGAAGGAACTGTTTTCTATGTGTCTAGTGAGTAATCTCATAACTTTATTCAAAGGCCAAAGGCAAGGTATTTTTTTTTCTTTTTCTGTCTGCGCACATCAGAACCAGCTTCTCTCGGGGTTTCTGACAACCTCGGGATGTGGTTTTCACACTGTGTGTCTAGCACAGTAATACATGGCTGAGTCTTCATTCTTGAGGCTATTAATCTGCAGATATGCAGTGCTGACAGAGGTGTCCAAAGAGAAGACAAACCGTCCTTTGAAGTCATCAGCATAGTTTGGGGTCCCAGTGTCTGTAGTAATATAGCCCATCCACTTTAGTGGCTGTCCAGGTTCCTGCTTTACCCAGCTCATAGCATAGTCTGTGAAGGTATAACCTGAAGCCTTGCAGGAGATCTTCACTGACTGCCCAGGCTGCTTCAGTTCAGATCCAGACTGTACAAGCAGAGCCTCTGCTTGAACACCTGTGGAGAGAACATAGGGAAGTAAGGAGACATGCAACTGCCTCAGTTTACTCTGGAGCTCTGGATTTTTATGACTTACTTTGGACAGCTGCAAACAGGAAAAGGAGCCTCCACACCCACTCCATGTGGTATGAGATTGGGACAGACTTGTTTCTTGAGACTAATCAGGCACTCCCTTGCTAAGTGAGGGAGGAAAGACTCAGATTTCTATTCTAAAGGCTTTGCATATGGGAGATTTGCATATGACTGGGTAGTGAACAAACCCAGATATTAGTTCTAATATACAAGAATACATGATTCCAAGTGAATCCACAGTGTCTGGTGTTCATGTCTTCATGTTGGTTGTGTTGTCCCCCAAGGACTCAGCTGCCTAATCCTCTTTAATGGGGCAACAATGGTCTTTGCCTCCCATTCATTGTGTGCTTGTCTAAGAGCCTTTATCATTTCCTCTGTAGACTGTCCTCTACAAACTGAAACATCTACATCAGTTCCAACTTGCCTATTGCTTCTAATTAGGTGTTGTACTTGAATTCTTTAGGTTCTCTGCACTCCTGTATCAGGGTCTAACCATTCTCGATGAAGCAGATAGAAATAAAATACATTTTTATTCCAAATTATGAAATGTGTTGTCTCTCTTTATATAAGCCATGTGATAAAAGTTATAGATTTGAAAAAGAGTAAGAGAGTACATACTGAAGTTTAGAAAAAAAATGATGCAATGATATTCATATAAATATTTATAATTACTATAATAAAAATGGTGAAGCATACTTTCTAATAAGGAAGTGTATAAATCCAGTAAGATAGATCAGTGGTTATATACATGTACTTCTTTCAAAAACACTTGAATTTTACTCCTAGCACCTATAATAAGAAGCACACAACCACCTACAGTTCTCAGTACATGAGCAACAAACCCTGTCAGCCTTCTTTGGCACTTATTTTCATACACCCATGAAAATACAGAGACACATAATTACAATTATAAGAATTTAAAAACAAAGAATAGTTTAATCAGAAATCAACTTAAGTGAAAAATCTTACACTAAAATATGAAATCTGGGTATATGGCTTGTAGTTTTGTAAATGTTTCAGTGCAGACGATCCATTCTGGATATTTTAAAATCTCCTGAAGAACTTTTGCTCATTTTAATCTCTTTTCTGCTATTTTATAATCCAAACTTAAGAATTCTGCAAATCATTGCAGTAATCTGATTCTATGAAATTTACACATTTAATTCTTCTGATGAGATATAAATTTGAAATAAAAAGTTGGCTGGTAGGAATGTAAGGTGCCTGTCATCATCAGAAACAAAGTTATAAGCAGGCAGGGAAGAAAGATACTAGGAATGTATTGCTTCTGACTTAAAAAAGGTAGTATTGCCCCATTTTTTAATTGTGATAATTAGCATTTTAAAGTCTAGTTTCTTGAGTTCTTTATATATTTTGGAGATCAGACCTTTGTTTGTTGTGGGGTTGGTGAAGATCTTCTCCCAGTCAGTGGGTTGCCTTTTTGTCTTAGTGATAGTATCCTTTGCTTTACAGAAGCTTCTCAGTTTCAGGAGGTCCCATTTATTCAATGTTTCCCTTAATGTCTGTGCTGCTGGGGTTATATGAAGGAAGTGGTCTCCTGTGCCTGTATGTTGTAGAGTACTTCCCACTTTCTCTCCTATCATGTTCAGTGTGTTCAGACTTATATTGAGGTTTTTAATCCATTTGGACTTGAGTTTTGTGCATGGTGATAGGTATGGATCTATTTTCAGCGTGGAATATATACATACTAGAGTACTACTCAGCGGTAAAAAACAATGACTTCTTGAATTTTGCATGCAAATGGATGGAAACAAAAAACACCATCCTGAGTGAGGTAACACAGACCCCCAAAAGATAAACATGGGATGTACTCACTCAATATTGGTTTTTAGCCATAAATATAGAACATTGAGCCTATAATTAGCGATCCTAGAGAAGCTAAGTAAGAAGATGAACCCAAAGAAAAACATATAGTTATCCTCCTGGATATTGGAAGTAGACAAGATTGCTGGACAAAAATTGGGAACTGGGGGGTGGGGTGAGATGGGGGTAAGGGGAGATGTAGAGAGACAAGTGAGAAGGGGAAGATGGGGAGAACTTGGGGAATGGGATGGTTGGGATGGAGGAAGGGTGGATATGGGAGCAGGGAAGTATATATCTTAATTAAGGGAGCCATTTTAGGAGTGGCAAGAGACTTGACTCTAGATATGTTCCCAGGGGTCCAAAGAGATGTCCCCAACTAGGTCCTTGGGCAACTGAGGAGAGAGAGCCTGAAATGACCCTATCCTATAGCCATATTAATAAATATCTTGCGTATCACCATAGAACCTTCATCTGGCGATGGATGGAGATAGAGACAGAGACCCACATTGGAACAATGGACTGAGATCCCAAGGTTCCAATGAGAAACAGAAGGAGGGAGAACATGAACAAGGAAGTCAAGACCGCGAGGGGTGCACCCACCCACTGAGACGGTGGGGCTGATCTATTGGGAGCTCACCAAGGCCAGCCGGACTGTGACTGAAAAAGCATGGGATAAAACCGGACTCTCTGGATAAGGTGGACAATGAGGGCTGCTAAGAAGCCAAAGACAATGGCACTGGGTTTTGATCCTACTGCATGTACTGGCTTTGTGGGAACCTAGCCAGTTTGGATGCTACCTTCCTAGACCTGGATGAAGGGGGGAGGTCCTTGGACTGCCCACAGGGCAGGAAACTCTGACTGATCTCTGGAATGGAGAGGGAGGGGGAGGGGGCTTGGGGGAAGGGGAGGGAAAAGGGAGGCAGGGAGGAGGCATAAATTTTTAATAAAAAATTAAAATTAAATTTAAAAAGGTAGTATTGTTCGAATATGGACAGTAGTGTGTGCTGATAGTTAGGATGAGGATAGACAATGATAACTGGGTACAACAGAAAAAAAAGGTTGAGTATGAAAGGTAATTTAAGAAATAAGTACAAGACTTCTATGAACAAAGACCAAGCTTTTGTAATTTTCACCATTCATATTCTAGTAGCATAATTGTTATTTGCAAATTAAGTCAATAATTGCTACACTTTGTTCTTTATACTGGGCAGGGAGCGGAATTCAGGACTGATGAAAAGTTTATTCTGGTCTTCTGTGCACCTGGCTTGAGGACACAATTGAAACCACGGAGATTTGGTGCCCCCTGATGTATGACTGGCTTCCTGCAGTGTAATAGTCTTACTCTATGGTCAGAACACCATGAATGCTCCCTGTACTTTCTTTGTCAGGAATAAAGTCCTGTCACAAAGCTTCTCCATGATTTGGAATTGAGGATTAAGAGATTGCAGATATATAAAAATTCTGATTAATTTCACATTATAACTTAAAATTCTGTTTTATTTTCTTCTGCTATTGGTAGGTGGGTCACATAAGCATAGGTGATTTCTTGTGGCAAGTGAAACAGTTGGTCTACCAGGGGCATTTAGAAGTAGTCCTTGTCAGATATTGATGTAGTAAGGCAGGCATGGCTCTACATGAGACAAAACTCCTCCTATAATAGATGTTATAATTTCTTTTGTATTATTTTTTGTTCTGGGTGGACATATATGTGTCCCAATCAGTGACATAACTTAGAATGGCTGTCTTGTATGTGCTTCATACTGTCTCACTGTGGTATCATGTCAGTGCCTCATTCAGAATCACATGTATATTCTCTTCAGGGGAATATACAAATATATTCCCTATGCCATTGATAGGTTTATTAATTTCTACTCAAATTATTGTTTTTCCTTTATCTGTTTATCATGGTCAAGTTTCATGTGAAATTCAAATGAACAAATATTGAAGTAAGCAGAAACCTTGAAAGTTATAGTATTCACAGTGCTGGGGTTAACCTAGCTCTCTACTACCTAACATCTCTTCACACTCAAGGAAAACCATGCATCCTTATTTGCACCCAATATTCCCATGGCTTTCTCATCATAGCCTCTATGGAAATATCTGGCCTTGAGAATCATGGAGTTGGAAATGTGATGTATAAAATAGTAGTATATGTTTCCTTTAACTTTTAATCTCCTCCAGATTCACCCATACTGTGAAATAGAAATCAATGCATCCATGCTAAATGTTGAGAGAACAGCATCTCAGTTTATGAACATATTAGAGATGTAAAATCATTCAACAGTTAACAGTTTCTGAGGCAGAGTAAAATATATTTTAAGATTATGACTATATGTGTCAAAATTCTTATAGAAATTCCAAACTTTGGTATTTTATTATGCACCACAATGAGGCAAATTGATGAATCACAAATGCTAACTCTTCATTTTAGGTACTGAGCCTATTTATACAAACTCGCTTAGTATCCTCTCTCATTTTCTCTCTCTGTCTCTGTCTTTCTCTATCTGTCTCTCTTTGTGTGTGTGATGTTTTTAAGTATTGTAAGTGTGTGTATTTGTGTACACAGGTAAGTGTGTCTGTGTATATTCACAGCATACAAAGGGGAATCCTACATCATCTCCCCTTTTCTGTCCAAATAAAAAGGCCCCAAACTGGCTGGCTTGCTTTTACATACTAAGCTTTTTTTTTTTTTTGTAAATCCCCAACAAATTGGAGCTAAGCACAGTCACTTGGAAATTTCCCAGCCTCACACACATTATCTCTCCCCACTGCCATGCAGCAACTTGTGTAGTTTCTGATTTGTGCTATCTGCTCATGAATTCTCACCTCCTTGCTCCATGTGTAAAATTGATTTAATTGTTTTAATTAGTCAAACAAAACATATTTATCAGTATTTAATTATGCACCAAGGCAGAAAATCAAAGAGGCACAGGACTACTTATGCCACCACTGGTTGTACAGCCACTTGCTGACGACTCTTTGTCCCACAGCTGCAACCATAAAACCTGCTAGAAAAAGAACCTTTTTAAATATATTATGGATTGCATATTGCATGGATTGTATGGTTATTTGATACACCCATTTATTGGATATTGGAACTCATTTTCCTTCTTTATATTAAATCTTTAAGAAAATATTTGATAACAGAGTCAAGAATGATGCAATTTTAGAAACAATAAAATCCTTACAGACTAATAATGAAAAGCTAGATGACAAGATTAATATCATT